ACATCTCCAACAAGTTGGGAAGATTAGCAGAGTTAATAGCCTAGGTTAGAGAATTTATATCTTAGGTTGCAGCAGTTATGTAAGTAGGCTAAAGACGCCAGACAGATAGCAACAAAGCCGACCATCCAAGTGCTGTCCAGGCTGCTGCTGCTGCTGAAGTTGTGGGCTTTGTGGCCCTTGCATGCTATTGTGCTGAGGCTGTGAGGTTGGTTGCCCCTGCATGCCAAAGAATTGCTGCTGTCCAGGCTGCTGCTGCTGCTGTGGTGGTTTTGCTTGCCCCTGCATGCCAGTTGCTGGCTGCTGTTGTGGGCTTTGTGGCCCTTGCATGCCAATGGCTTGCTGCTGTCCAGGCTGCTGCTGCTGAAGTTGTGAGATTGGTTGCCATTGCTGCTGTCCAGGCTGCTGCTGTCCAGGCTGCTGCTGCTGTGTGCTTTGTTGCCCTGGCAGGCCCATGGCAGGCTGCTGCTGCCACTGCTGAAGTTGTGGGCTTTGTTGCCTTTGCATGCCAAGCCCTTGCTGCTGTCCAGGCTGCTGATGAGGTTGCAGGCCAAATATGCCTAAGGTACTTTGTTGTTTTTCCTTTGGGAGGCTGGGTGTCATGAATGGTTTGCATGGGCTGGTGCTCTCCATGGCCTCCAGGATGTCAGGCTGCAAACACAATACCAGGCCTCTTTGAACTATGCCATTGATAGCATTGTTTCACAGCAACTTAACTTGAACCTTGATTGACACCTTCATGCAGACTGCCCCACCACAGGAACCTGCCTGAGGTGGATCCTGGCCCAAGATGAGAGTTGGGACCTCATTTGACCAAGTGATGCCACAACCCACAGCAGAAGCAGGACATGCCACCCTCACAACCAAGCACACTCAATCACCTTCTTCCACTTGCTGCCCTGGAGCCTGAGAGATTGGCAGAGATGGTGAAGTTGCCACTGAAGAGCTGTCCATTGGTGCTGTGGTGGAGGGCTGCGCTTTCATGGCTCCCCCTCAGTGACAAACAACCAGACTAATGAATGTGTTTGGAAGGTGGCTAAAGGTGGCTTGGTTCAGGAAAATAACACTTTCTATTCTAGATCTTCAATCTCACTTTCTTTTCCCCTTTTGGCCCTTCACTGAGTCATTGCTTGCAACTGAAGCACCACTCTCATTAGCAGGAGTCTTCTGAGGTAGTTGGGTCATGATGTTCCTCACCTGCTGTGCCTGCCAATGCAACTCTGGTATTCCTAGGCTGCAGGTGCCAAGGTTGCAATTCAACAAGCACTGTTCACAATGGTTATAATAAGGGCTGAAACAATGGCTTCACCTCACTCCTGTTTGCCTGCCAAGATGCCCATGCAATACTCCACATAAGCCTTGGCCCAATGTGCTTCATCACAAGCAAGGCAGGCAGCTTCAGCCTCAGGCAGTGGGTGGGCAATGCAATTCTTTTGCTCTAGAGTTACTTACAATTTCCAAAAATAGTGCATATATCTAGTTAATTAAAATATTGAAAACATATTCCAACAATAACTACAAAGTCCTGTGTGCAAATGGGCCACAATTTTGGACCACCACTCTGCTCCAGCATGCTGTGATGAGAAGATGCAATCGCATTTGAAAAGTGACCTCAGCTCTGGGAAGGTCAGAAATGATTAAACCCTATGCTCAAGTTCAAACCAACCATCATTGCCACTTTGTAAGCCACCCTAGCTCACACTTCCCCCACTACTTTTGTAAAGCAAGCTGCTCCTCAGTCCATTGGGGGAACGCCAAGCACAAATGGTGGCTACAGTTCCTGTACACCATGCTGACTGGAGCGCCAGGTGGAGCAACCACCATGCTCCTTCCATCCTGGTGGGATACTGAGAGCTCCCCCTTGCACCTCATGGCATGAGCAATGATTTCCCTATTTGGTTTGCTTGCATCCAAGTTAAGCTGATGAAATCATCATTCCATGTCAAAAGAACAAATGCAAATGGTTGATTCTGAGCTTACTCAGAGTGGCACCCAAGAACTGCCTTGTATGGTGCCTTTGGCAGCTGTGGTTCCTCTTGAAGTTGGTCTGCTTGTCCATCCTGCCTCTGCCAAAACAAAGTGTGCCATTCATGACATGGCTGATGATTATCAGCACAAATTGACAAATGCAATGATGCACTCTCTAAATAAACTTTGGAAACCACTTGTGGGGCTTGGCAATGTTCTGGCTCCCAGATTGAAGGTGCATTCATGGTATGCTCTTGTATTATTACTCTTGTACATCAGACTGCACATCACCAAAGTATGCAATGATGCCACCCCACATTTTGTGAGGCATTGTGGGCTTAAGTCTTAGCCCTACTCAGTAACTGAACAACTCACACTCACACCCATATGGCTTGCATCACAGTCGCCTTTTATTGTCCTTGTTCTTGAACAGGTTCTTCCAGCCAAGGGCTAGGGCGAGCTCTGCAATGTTGGACAGGTTGTCCTGTGCACATGGCAATCATTTTCAGTGTCTGGTGAATTGCAATTGCCATTCCAGAAGAAGTTTACTTGGTAGTAGGTAAGTATCCAAGTAGGTAGGCACAAACCCAACAAAACCACTCATTCATTGGCATGTTTTTCATGTTTCAAGTTTCCCTTCTTTTACTTCAAGCCATTTCTTTCTGACCTCACATTATTTCCTGATGGTGGTGTCTTACCAGAGATCATTAACTTGTCATATTATATAACAAAAGCAATGGCATGTAACTTCTCATATTTTGGTTGACCATGAACACTATTACATTTCACACTGTCACACTGAGGGTATGACATCAATTCCTTTGATTCTGGAGCCATCACTTTGCTTCATGATCTTGGAGTGGGCATCCATCAAAGTTTTTTTCCTCATCACAAATCACTTTTAGCAATGGCAACAAGGCATTCTGCTAGGTCTTAACTGTGACTTTGGGAATGGAAAAGGGAATGGAAAAGCACTCAATGAATGGTTTTGCCAATTAATTAATACCAAGGCTCACATCACCCTTTGTTCTGCAAAGAAGGTCCTTGAGGCTGATCCTGGGGGATAGGCCTGTCATCACAAAAAGGAGCTGGTCCAATTCCCTGTCTGGAAGCTGAGAGGCAGAACCTGACAGGGTGTGCTTTCTGAAGTCTACAGCCCTACCTACATTTGCCTGATCAAATTCAATTGGCCAAAGCAAACTGGCTTGTGTTCAGCAATGATTCAACTCAATGATGTTAACCATATTTAACCCTTCAAGAGTGAGGTTCAGCACTTGGAAGGCCCTTTTTGGAAGCCAAGGAGCTCACAGCAATCCCAACATCACCCAATTTGGTGAGCCACTTGACTTTGTACCTCCTTGGCATGCAGTTCTTCTTGTTGCTGACCTTTTCACCATCAGCTGAGTAATCACAGCCAAGAGTTGTCCAATGCCTCAGGTGATGAGGGGTGGGCTGCTAGGCTAAGCAGTCTTCAACACCTAACAGCTTAAGATTCCTCTTGAAGGCTGTTCAAAGAGTGACTCTTCAAGGTAACTTAAGACATTCACAAACCCAATTAAAACCTAAATATTCACTAAGTGTTTCCCCACCTAAGGCCTAAGGTTGACATGTGACCTTTTCCACTACTTCAGACAAGAGTGCGAAGGAACTTTCATGGCTTCCACCTCATCATCTGACATCATACTGGTGGACTCTGAATCAGAACCTTGGCCCATTAAATAGCTGCATTCATTCACCAACAAGAACAAATGCAAGTATCAAAGGACTCTTGCAAAATGTTGTTGAACATATTTAAGTATGAAAGTGTTCCTACTTTACTTACTCATTGACCTTTTCAATGATAAACCAAAACACCATCATCTGATTTCTTTTTGGTCTTATTCTTCTTCTTTGCTTTCTTGGAAGACTTGGCCTTTCCTCTGTTCTTCTTCTTCTTTTTGCGGCTCTTGGCCTTATCATCAGCACTCCTGAGTCCACATTCCAAAAGGCATACCCATACAAAACAAGTCTGATCAGGATCAGCCTTGGTGTAAAGTTTAAAGGGCCCAGCTGATTGGCCAATTCTTAAACCATTATTGTTTTGCAATTCTAAAGAGGTCACATAGTAGGTGCCCTTGGATTAACTTTTAGGTTTGTGTGAGGAGGCCTGACATCACTTCACTTGTCAACTACTGAGGCCCAAGTAATTGGCAGATATTATTCTCTCATGCTGCAATGCAATGACTAGGCTCGAGTCTGAATCTTCCTCCTCCTCCTCCTCATCTTCTTCCTCCTCATAAGGAGGAGGCAGCCCAGTGGCACTGAATCCAGGAGGGCCTGGGCCAGGCATTGAGCCCTGCTGCAGCCAATGGGGAATTCCACCATGATATCCTCCACCATGCTGCTGCAGCAACCATGCAGGATGCTGATAGTTGGAAGGTAGGGAACACCTTCCTGGAACAGCCTTCCTTTTCCTTCCAGGCATGTTCCAAATCAAGGCTTGGGCCACTCAGGAGGCTGCCAAGTCAAGTGATGTCAGGTTTCCTCACACAAAGCCTAAAGTAGCCTAAGCAATTCCAAGGTTTTCACTCTCAAGAAAATTATAGGAAATATTTAGGTTTTAATTGGGTTTGTGAAGTCTTAAGTTACCTTGAAGAGTCACTCTTTGAACAGCCATCAAGAGGAATCCCAAGAATATAGTTCATCGGAATCGATTCTCAATTTGTGAAGCACTTTTACAATCCTTTACCTTTTACTCTATCTGCGGGGACCCCCGACTTAAAGTCCTACTACATGATCATCATATCCTTGGACTGTCTAGTCAATAGATCTGTGGAAATCGCACTTGCTGACCCACCTGAATCATCGATGCTGAATCATTCAGGATCTTTTTCTTAGGTTCTTGGCCTAGCAAAGGGTCCAACATGATTACACACATAATAGAAAACCAAAACAACCTGGTGGTAAACTACGAATTTGCCGCTTGTTCTGGCGGCACCGCAAACTCGGGAGGATTGGTTTCGTCTGCAGCACCCCATGCCGACACTGACACGAGCCTCGCCGGATGGGGCCTTTCCAAGAGTTGTGACTCCCCCCAAAAGCTTGGGTTGAAAAAAGAAAAACATAGAACAATTGGAGGAATCTTGGAGGAATCAACCCAAGGATTTTGTTAAATGAGGAATCAACAGGCTTCCTCAAAGATCTTGTTAAGAATGATCCTCCGCCTCGACAGTGCCCTGTCCGGCGTCGGAGAGTGGCGCTGTCCACTGGCTCTGATTGGTAACCTGCGCTGCATGTGGCATGCCCCAGCGGGCATGAATACCAGTCACTGCTGACAAACACCCAAGGGGAATCTCTAGGATCTTCATTAAAGCTAAGCTTTTTCATTAAAGCAAGCAAAGTAAGAGGTGGTCGGGGCCCTGCGGAAACTTCTCCGTGTATCTCCTGAAACGGCACAGGACCAGTGCATAGCAGAGTCGGGAAGGGCCAGACTCGACCCGAGATCCGCCTTCAACTCCGATGGGACGACCTGAGCTGGCGCTCTCTGGAGGCGAGCTTCTGGCCGAAAAAAGGAAACAACTCACCTCTTGGACATACAACAGAGTTGAAGACTTCTGTACACAGAGTTAAACCGTCAGCAGTTGCTGAACCCCCCAATGTGTTTCAGACCTGGTCCGTACGATCTGAACACAAGCTCTGAATTCAAGAAGGCCATGTACTTCGAGGCACGTGCATGTTGACTGGAGCCGGTTGCCTTCGCATCTCTTCGCATGCTGTTTGATCTGTTCATATATTTCCATGCCTCCGTGCATAGCCATGGGATTTGTGCGAAGCAAGTAAGAGACAATGCACGTAGCTGCGTTGTATTCATTCATGTCTCACTGCTCTCGAGACCACGGGAGACGGGGAGCCCCGTGGTCTCGTCGTGGCTCTGGAGGATGTGAAAATCGCACCACTTGCGAAGCAGCATACAATGGTAAGACTCAGCTTACAGAGTGTGAGGACCCCTTCTGCCAAGGTTCCCCACAGTTGTCAGTGGTGGAGGCTCCAATGGTGCAGGCTCAAGAAGGACCTCTGATCCAGAAGAAACGCACAAAAAAAAGACTCAGCTCTTATTTATTCAATTGAAGCGGAAAACTCTGTTGGTTGAAGTGGATTGGGCTAGATCATCCTTCACTCCAAAGTTTTGGGTGAAGAATTGCTAGCGTCCAGTGTTCCTTTCTTCAACCTATTCCCATCCATCCTATCCCGTTCATTCCAGACTCAAATTGATACCCACGTGGCTCTAGTTAACCGACGCTCATGCAGCAAAACTCCGAAGTTGTCCAATTAAATTACAGCTTTGGACGGTGATGTAGGATATCTAACTCTGTCTATATCTGCCAATATCGCTGGAACTTCTGCCAATATCGCCCTGAAGTTACATCCTCTTCGATTGTTTTAGCGAAGCCCTCCACAGCGTAGCCCTTCTGGCCTGTGAAGACTGCAGGGCTCGGCCTGTACCATATTGCCGACGATCCTGGCGAAGAACGACGTTGGTGTCCAACTCTTTTTGGCCCCTTCGACTTCCCAATTTGGGGACGAAGAGAAGCAACTTTGCTCTTCTTAGCTGGCAGTGTACTTGCAGGACTCTGGAGCATTTCAGGTGGATTCTTCATCCATGGCTAAACATCACACATCTAGATACTCTATGATACTCTTTCATAATGCCTTGGTAATGGGGAGAAAGGAGTCATGATGATTCATGTCTGCACACACAGAAGGGTGGCAATTTGGCCAAGCAGGGTACTCTATGACTGCACTAGAATGTCTGGTGGCTAAGCGCTGGGTCTGGGTCCCATTCCCTTGGCGTGGGCCAGCCGTCCTGAAGGCATAGATACAGGAACGTAACCTCAAAGCAAGTGGTGCTTGAACACTCGCGGCTTACAGCTTTGTTGGGAACTGCCATCATTTCCCTTTTGCAAGCAGTTAGGGTGTGAGATGGACTTTTGATTCCTGTTCTCATCCTGGTATTCATGGATATTAATTGCGGCTGGTTTGTGATGTCTCTTTCATGGTGTTTCCCGATTTCCCCCCCATGCTGCAGCCACGGGGCCACAAGCAGTGCGCCAACAACTCCTCGGGGCAGAGTCATTGTCTCCAGGTGATTTCACCCGCAACAAGAGCCGATCAGTTCATATACCAGTGACAAAATGTTCTGCTCACTATAATTACTATAGTATTGCTTATGGTTGTGACAAACGCACACCCAATCCAGTTCAAATGCCAAGGGTGCCGTCAGCCCACATGATCTCCGGATTCGACTTACTGGTTTCAACTGTTGAACATTAACCTTGATCTCTTTGCAGATGCTCAGGGTACCTTTGCACCGAAAACGGAAGCATCCTTGCCTGCACCAGCTCTGACAGACTTCGTCATGTACAAGGTGAACGAACGGTCAACTGGCCTGGGCTGAAATTTATCACATTGCATGACGCACACACAGCATCCAGCATTCTATTTCTTACATTGTTTCAAGACCATGTTACAAGAAGGACATCTCAAAAAAGAGGCTGTGCTCGACTCTCTGACGGGAGATGATTACTCATCGTGGTCGTGAGACATTTCACCTGACTGACTGTGAAAAACAAAACGTATCAGTAGGTTTCAACTAACTCTAGAAATCAAACCCTTAAGCCGTAAGCCTGAGCCCTTCTGCGTCCAAGCCTAACGTTGGCACTTGCTTTCTTGTTCCTCAGCTGCCAACCAGGCTGCGGAGTCGTCACGTCACTAGCCGCTGGATCGCTCGAGCCGCTTGCCCAAAGATCGGAGCGGTCACCAAGCAATGTCATTCAGAGAGACTTTTGGACCCCAACAACCCGAAACGGACAATTGATGTAAACTGAATTATCGCAGATCTTGCATCATCCCCGTACACCTTTATGATCCTTTATGGCGTTTGAAACCACATAAACTGCAATGGAACCACAACTACAACTTATCTGGGGTACAGTACGCAGGTATGCATTTTATTTTTGTGTGGGCGTGGCTCAGAACTTTTGAGCACCTCCACTTTAAGCCTGGGCCAAAGGAAAGTTCAATCGGTTTGCGTTTTGAGGTCACAGCCAATGGCTGGCGTTGACGAACTGGGCCAGGCCAAAAGATTGAGCAAACCGAAGCACTAGATCATAGACCTGTACTCTGACAACCTTTGCGGCTGGTGACCATTGAGAGCAATCTCAGAAACCACATAATATATAACAATATATATATATACACAGTAATATCCCAACACTTTGAACAAAAAACGGCACTGTCCAGGCAAGCAGCGATTTTGTACGCGCAGCTTAGCCCACAGCAGCCCTGGAAAACAACAAACACAAATTGACACGGCATTGTCAAGTACGGCTTATGTTTCCTTCTTTCTGCTAATGTCTGTCCTCTTCCCCCCCCCCCCACACACACACACTTTGACATTGGGTTTTCAGTTAACTCAATTCCCCGAGAAAAGGAATGGCTCAACGGCAAGGTGAAGCGTCCGATC